ATTTATTCTGTGTCCACTCTGTCCTCCACCTCTTCTTTTGTACTGGCATTCACAAGCAAGCAGACATTTTTGCTAGAAAATCATTTTAAATATAAAGGGGATGACTGGGATGAAACTAACTTCTCATTACATACAGTAAGTGCTTTTAATTTTCGTAAAATGGTACAAGAAATGGAAAAATGTTCTTTTCTTTCCTTTTGCACCTACAGCAAGTATTTATAATAGCATCCCAAAAAGACATGTAAAATTGTTTCACTGTTGGATATTAGTTTTATGATGATATATTCCAATCAACCAAATGGTTTCAATGGAAACCTGTGGTGATGCTTCTTTGGTGAAATTTGAGTCTGGCCTGTGGAAAAAAGTGACTTTGCACTAAGAGGAAGTAGCGCTGCAGTTATTACTTGTAGGCCTACATAAGAACATAAGAAATTTACAAACGAGAGGAGGCCATTCGGCCCATCAAGCTCGTTTGGGGAGAACTTAACTAATAGCTCAGAGTTGTTAAAATCTTATCTAGCTCTGATTTAAAGGAACCCAGGGTTTTAGCTTCCACTACACTAGCAGGAAGACTATTCCATACTCTAACTACACGCTGTGTAAAGAAGTGCTTCCTCAAATGACATCTGTCCAGGCAGTGAGAAGTGGAGAGATGAAAGAAAGGGCACTACCTGATTATATTCTCACTTGGCTCTTTCCATTCTGGTTGTTCAATATTTCTTAATCTGCTCCATTTTATGTCTACTGTGAGGTTTAAAAGCTGTTAATGCTGTATAGAAAATGGTTTTATGTAACTTTTAGTGTTTGGATATGTGTTTGCAGTGATGACCATGCCCTTGGCTTACATTCTTTGTGCTAGGAAATGTACATGTGGCATTGATCTCCCATCTGAAATATACTCAAGTACTTTTATATGTTCTGGTCAAAAATTGTAAAAATATGACTTCCATGTGCTTCCAGTTTTGTTGGGTATATTCTGTCCCTATATAGAGTTACCCTTTCACAAAAAAACAGAACAACACAACTATCTCTGAAATAACTTGAAGGTGACAAAAGTGTAATGGCATGCCTTATTGTTTATTCTATATTGAACACAAATCAAATTTTGCTTTTGATTATTGATACTGTTGAATATTTTAGCTAATTAAACATTTGTTTATGAAAATGAAAATGGCACGAACAAAAAAAAGATGGTACCCTTAATTTATTATTTTGTGGCACCACCTTTTGCAGCAATCACTGCCAACAAGCGATCTCTGTACTTTAGAATGATACATCTGCATCTTCCACCAGGTAGTTTGGCTCACTCTTCCTGACCAAACTGCTCAAGCTGTCTCAGATTTGGAGGGTGGTGTCACGATCCGCTCCGTTCGATCCCGATGTGTGCCACGCCCACCTCGTTACCTCGTGTGATTCCCTGATTATTCTCACCTGTTGCCTGTTCCGTTTGCCTAGTCTTTTGTATTTAGTCCGAGTCTCAGTCCGTCTTCCCCAGATCCGTCATTGTAGTGTCAGAGTGTTGTCCGTGCTTGTCCGTCTTTGGTTAATAAATCCAGTTTACCCGAAGTTCTGGCTTCGCTCACCTGCTTTCCTGCTCGCCCTCCCCGCAAATGCTGACAGAATGACGGATCTCATCGAAGACACAGCGCAGCAGACCGAGGGCCAACGGCTCGGTCTGCTGCAGGAAGTTGTGTACTGGCTGTCCCAACCCGAGGTCCAGGAGGACCCCATGGCACGGGACTTAGCCAGCCGGAGTGGGGACCTCTTGAGTGAGGCGCCCCCACCCGGAAACGCGTACCCCCTCCGCGAGGTACACGAAAACCTCCGACAGCTGGTTGAGAGGATAACGGAGAGGCGGCTCCAGCCACTCGCCTGCTCCCCGGCCGCCCCGACTCAGCCGACCAGCCACAATCGGAGGAAAAAGAAGAAGAGGAGAGAACAACACCCGGGAGAAGTGCCGGCGATCTTCCTAAGGGCGTGCTCTCTCTCTCCTGCTTCTCACGCTGTGACCCCGGAAGTCACTGCTGCTGCCTGTCTGGAGGTACCTTCGCGGGCAGCTTCCCCCTTCCGGGGAACACGGCTAGCCCTTAAAGGGGCCAGGGCCGTCTGGGAGGCGATTCCCCGGATTCCCAAGGCCCTTAAAGGGACAGCGCCGGTACGCCCGGCGCCGATGCTGGCGCCTATTGCGGACCTGCCTGCTCCGGACGTGCCTGCAGCACCGGCTGATGCCGCCGCCGATCTGCCCGCGGCTGCGCTGCCTGATGCCGCCGTGGATTTGCCCGCGGCGCCGCCTGCTGCAGCCTCCGCCGCTTTGCCCGCGGCACCGCCTGTTGCTGCTGCCGCGATGCCAGCCGCATCGCATGATCCGCCTGTCCTGCCTGACCCGCTTGTCCTGCCTGCTGCAGCTGCCGCCCTGCCCGCAGCACCGCGCGAAGGCGGCCCCCGCCGCGGCGCCCCCTGCTGGCCAAGTGACTGCAGCGCCCGACGAGGCGCCCCCTGCTGGCCGCACACCCAAGGTGCCCACCGAGGTGCCCCTTGCTGGCCACGTGACGGCGGCGCCCGTCCTGCCGGCACCTGAACTGCCCGTCTC